TAACAGGCAGTGTACCCTTTCTTCTGCTCATTTCTCTCTTCTTGCGGCTTCCAGAGTCACCCATCTAATTTAGCTAAGATGATCTCTTGGCAGACTCAGAAAAGCGTCCAGGGATTCCTTACATGGTATCCTTATTAAATGTACTTTTTTTTTCTGGTCTTTTTGAGACAGGGTCTCCCTATAGCCCCAGCTGTCCTGGAACTATGTAGACCAGGCTGGCCTTGAACTCACAGAGATCTGCCTGCCTCTGACTCCCAAGTACTGGACTACAGGCGTGTGCCACCACGCCCAGCTTAAATGCACATTTAAAAAAAATATTTTTATTTTATGGGTATATGTGTATTGCCTGCGTGCAGGTAAGTGCACCCATGTCGTGTAATGCCCACGGAAGACAGAAGAGACTGTTGGATCCCCTGGAACTGGAGTTATGGACAGTTGTTAGCTGCCATGTGGGTGTTGGGATTCGAACCTGGATCTTCTGCAAGAACAACCAGTGTTCTTAATTGCTGAGCCATCTCTCCAGCCCCTAAATGCACATTTTAAACTTCAGCAACATCAGACTCATGGTAAATCAAAGTGTCCAGGTCTCAATTTCTAATTTCCTATATTCCCCTCCCTTGCCAGTCTTTAATAAGATTCAATTTTTATTTCAGTATCTGGCACTGAAGCCAGAGTCTGACACCGGCTAGGCAAGGAGATACAATTGAGCTACATCTCCAGCCCTTTAAAAATTTTGAGACAAGATCTAAGTAAATTACCACTCTCTTCTTGAACTTATCCTCCCGAGTGATTCTGGAATAGACATGATTACAAGCACACACTGTAACATCTGGCCAGGATTTAGTTCATTGAAGCGTAAAGATAAACTAGTCAAACTACTGAATAAAGATGATCTGTTAAATAAGCAGCTTTAGTGATAACCTTCATTCTACTGCATCTGTTTTGGAAATGGATATGCTTGCTTCCATGATCTTTTAAAGATTAGTTTTTCTTTACAAAAGAGCCATTACACAAATAAAACTTCACATTATTATAAATGAATGAATTCTAGTACCTATCCAATTTAGTACTTAAATATACAGGGGGAAAAAAACAAATGACAACTGCTTTTATTATTAAAAGTTACTCAATTCCATAAAGCACACAGTAACCTATATTCGACTAACAAAAGATACACGTATTTAAAAATATATAACAGATTTGTCTATCTTAACATTTATATTCTATTTAAAAAGTACTTTACATGCTTGCAATTTGAATTTATAAAATATATATCCACCCTACTCAAATCCAAACATAAGCTCCCATTCCTAATAAAATGCACAACCTTTATGAACATCAAAAGAAAACTGGCAGCAATGAAAATGAACAGGTTCAATCTGACCTGAACATGCACTTAATTCTTGACTACTGGATAATTCAATAATCCATTCGCATATTATTTCATTTTGTGCCTGAGAATTTTGCATTTATTTAAACAACCTGTCATTACCCATGAAGAGACTTGTACTTTCATAGCATCTGATGAAATCTACAAAGTTCCTTAAGAGTCTGGTTTCAGGCTATAAAAGACACAAAGGTGTTCCACCTTCCCAGAAGTGTGACAAGTTACATCACATGTTAAGTCTAGAAAAGTTTATCATATGCTTTGTCTTCAAGAAAATAACTCAGAGGATCAACTATTCCTTAAAATCCGGGCTGTGTACATGCCAAGAAACAGAACAAGAACTGAGCTTCTTTTCCCAGTTACCTCTTTATGCCAAGGGTACAACAGAAGTTCATCATGTATGTCAAGACTAGCTTCTACTCAAGCATTTCCCCCACATATTCAAAAGAGCTCCATACTATTCTATTAACAAAAAAATTCAAGATAACCATATAATCATCCTAGAGACTCATCATCAAAAGTAAGTCTCAATACCAAGTCTAAGAATAAAAATCAAGACTAATACCTTACTTACCAGGATCATGGTACTTCAACTTTCAGAACAGACAGGTAAGTTTGAAATATATGTTTAGATTCCAAGTGCCTCTAAAGATAATGATGCCTAGAATCTTCTTTAAACACAATTTATACTGAGAAAACAAAAATGTCCCACAAGTAACTTCCATAAAATAATCCCAAATCTTAAAATGGCTTAGAAAATTATATGTAAAAACAAGTTATTTGAGAAATGAATAAGCTTTGGAAGAGTCCCCACCCCAAAAGAAAACACAATTTCCTCAATGTTCATACTGCAAAACTAAACTATGGCTAACATTGTTGCAACAGTGGCATGACTGCTACAAAAGAAACCAACCAGAATGGCTCGTTTTCGTCAGTTAACATATTTAACCACCTGCTGAGAAAAGGAAGTTAGATACCCAAACCTCCATGTATTTTACTGAAAGGAAGAAATATTTTTTAATTTCTTAAACTCTTCTGATGTAATTTTAGTTATTTTCCTTCTCTAGATTCCCTAACCTTAAAAAAATAATCTTAGAGGTCAGAAAAGGAAACTGCTGAAAAACAATACAACGAACATCTATGAAATAGACATAACCAAGAAAATTAGAGATTAAAACTTTAAAAGGATCGCAAAGAATATTGGACAGTTGGTGGAACCGACACCTTCTTCACAGAGCTGAGTCATGCCAGGCATCGGAGGTGTTAGCACCACACACACCAGCTCTGTAGCTGTCTCCTCTTGTTCTGTCCTACTGCAGATGAAACTCAAGGCCCGTCCAGCACAGCACCCACTCAACTACACCTTTAGTCCTGCAGCACACTGATAATGAATCCTCAGAAAAAATACTGTTTGAAAACTAGTTTACATACATACATAATTATAATTATAAACTTTAAGCTTTCAGCTATGTACAAAAATTTTAATGAAAGTCAGAAATATAAGCAGCAGTAACTATGAAGGCTTAGAACTAGTCACACTGAATTTTTTATTAAAAAAAATCTTTGTATACATAGTACCTCCTCTTCTGTTCTACTTTTATGAAGTTTTGACAAGTTTTAAATATCTCAATTCTCAAAAACAATAGGCTTTTGAAGAAAAAACTTGATTACCAGAAATGACAATAGTTACACACCATTTTCATACTACTCATCATTTTCATTATGTATCTTTGATGTAATCTGGGAATGAGCAGTCAACTAGATACCCATTTTAGAATCTGAAGAATTTATTATCCATTGTAGGTATCCAATGATATATGTATTTGCATATATTTAAAAATCAGACAGGAAAAAGTAATAAACTACTCTACTTTTATGACAAATATTTATATACCTACTCAAAACGGCAAGGATTAAGGTCTTTTTCCAAGTGAACTCTGACTATATAAAAACTACTGTCATCACTTTCTCCTAGGGCCTAAAAATGGATTTATTTCCCTGTTGGCTAAAAGGAGAAATTACGTAAGTTCTTTAGAAGTAAAGATTAATTCCTTAAGAGATCAGTCACAAAATGTATTTTTAAAAATTTTTCCTACAAAACTGAAAACAATCTTTGTCCTTAAAATCTATAGAACTGATGTATATCTGGAAGGGCACCAACTTCATAATTGCATAAATAAAGAAGTGAGTGTATCACTGTCCTAACAAAACTCTGGCAGAGCAGAATGGCCTAAACAAATGAGGAGGGAGCAGCTCATCTCATGCAACCTGCTTGTTATTCTGGTTCTTATTCTTGTCTTTCAATATACACTAGAGCAAGATATTCATCTTATTAAAAGCTACAGTTTGCCCCCAAGTCAACAGTGACCCAGATAAACATCGCACAACTTTTAATAATGTAGCTTACATTTATATGTAATATAATTAAATGTAAGCAAAAAAGAATTTGATGGCTTCTAAATTCAAGGGGGTAATGTTAATTGTCATGAATTAGTAATGGTCAATGGTCCCGTATTTTAGGATATTTTCTTCACTTTGAACCAAAAATACACTAAAATTGTTTAGCTTTCCTCTTCTCCCCCACTTCATTTGAATTTATTTTATGGTATTTGTATATATACAGTAGTATGTTAAAATACTGTTATAAAAAACCTCAACTGAGGTTATTAATCTATAGTACAGCATTGGTAATGTTTGACCTGGTATATTAATTCCTTTGGTGAGTAAATGTCAGAGGCCATTTTTTATGAGGACCAGTATCATGGACAGCAATTTCTCCCTATGCCCCTCCCTTGGAGGAAAAATGGTCAAGCTAAGTAGCAGTTTGAAGCTGTTATGTAAAACATGAAAATACCTAACTTATAGTTGCAATGCTGATAGTAAAAGCAGTTAAAAACTAAGAATGATTCTAAGATTTTTCTATCCATGTTAAGCAGGCCAACTAGTAAAATTGATAGTGATCACTGTGAGAATGCATGTGTATCTAGTCAAGAAGGAAGAAAAATGCTTATATGTCTTTAAAAAGTGGTAACTGCTACCTAGCAGTATAAACAGTGACCACAATTTGGTGGCTGGCCATGGTTTTAATTTTTTCAAGTTATTTCTACAGCAGACATATTTTTTGAAGTCTACCCACCCCTGAGTTCAGCAGTTATACTTTTAGAGTGTAAAATGATATGCCCTTAATTAACAACATGTACAAAGCTACAAAATGTCATCTACACAGAGTTTAAAAACAATTTTTAAAATACTCTTTACCAATTACTGATTGGATGGTTTTTATGGGGTTATATATTTCAGACCTTTCAGCCAATTGGCTTTTATTTTTAAGCCTAAACTGATTAATATATTCACTGCAGGATATTCAAAGAGTGCAACAATAAGGCATTAGTAAAAATAACATTGTAGTAGAAACAGATTTTGCATATGTGAAAAGGTAATTTATAAAATACATCAATTGCTTTTTAAAAAGAGAACTTAGTTGTAGCAACATCAGCTTACATGGTACATGGTACTGAGAATGGAACC